GGCATGGTAGGATTTCTCCACTACCGCCTTTAGCTGGGTTATGTTAATGGCATGGCTCAAGAGCAGAGCAGTTGGCTGCCAAGAGGGGGTTGATCCCTAGGGAGCAGGCAGACAGAGAGGTCTGTGCTGCTGATAGGGTGCTGCAGAGAACTGTGATGAGCTGGAGGTGGGTATTTCTGCCCCCCCCTGATTTTGGCAACTTGCCGGTCTTTGATTATTTTTATTTATTTGGTTTTTATCCCCCAGCTCTGAAGGCTATCTTGGCTAATGGGGAAGGGCACCAAGTCTCCTTGTGAGGGTAGGAACTGTAAGCAGGGCATCCAGGAGGCAGGCAGGATTGCCTGCTGTGCCTGCAGTGTGTGGTCTGTGTCACGAATCTCGGCTGCTCGGCTCGCCCCGTACACCTGCACCTTCTGCAAGTGGGCTGGGTGCCCTCCAAACAGGGGGGAACGTGGCGGTCAGCTTTTGCTGGTGCTCTGGAGAGGAGCTGGAAGCCTGTTTGTGCCTTCCCACCGCCCTGAGCCATGCAGCTAGCAGGAGGGGCAAGCTTCAGGCATGGGTCCTGTGAGAGCTCTGCTGCTTTGCTTCTGGGCCCTTAGGAATAATTTCCTCTGGCCTGAAAGGATCCTGCCAGATCTGAAGTAAAAGGAGCTTTTTGTATGGAAATCAGGTGCTTGTGTATCTATCTGCATGTGAAATTACCCTTAAAATGGAGAGGCTGAAATTGCTCTCCAGGTGCTCACTTTCTCATCAGAGCTGCCCAGAGACCTGCTGCTCCCTCCACAGGAGCAGGATGCTTTTGCAGGCACAGTCACTTGCAGGAGTGGCAGAGGGCCACCTCCTGCCCCTCTGTGGCTCCCAAACAGAGCAGTGGGTGCTTGCTGGGGCACTTGTCTCCGAGTAGGGGTTTGCAGGGGGTGGCAGTGCCAGCCCCGGCTGCGCTGCCTTGGTTTGTGTCAGGCCCCGGGGCTCTGCTCATCTTCCCCATCGCGGCTGCATCCTCATGCCCTCGGCACCCACCCTGTTCTGGGTGCCAGAGCTGGGGTCCCCAGGATGGGCTGGCCAGAGGATGGTGGCTGGTGGTGTCCCCAGAAGCTGCTCACTAATGGGATTTGAGGTCATTAGCTGAACCTTGAGGTGCCAATGCCATCATGCACTGCGTGAGCATCGCAGGGGCAGCAGCCTCCTGCTGTCCCCAAAAACCCTCTTCTCCTTCCTGCCAACTCTCCCCAGCCATGCCCAAGGGCTGCGGCTGTGTCCTCGAATAACTCTGCTGGCCCCTCCACAAAGGAGCTCTAAACTTTTTCTGGGAAAACCATGCCAAGTGGCTGACAAACAGGTATTTTTCCCTTCTCTCCCTTCCTCGCTGCGCCTGCGGCGTCGGGATTGCTGGCAGCTGAGGCGCTTGCAGGCTTGCTGCAGGCAGGGAGCCATCCCTGGTGCCGGGAGTGGGATCCCCCCGCTGGCAGCACCTTCTCTGGGGCTGGGCAGAGCGACCTTCCCTGAAGGACGTCCTCTCTCCTCTGGCTCCGCCGCATCCAGCTAATAGCCGAGAGTCTTGGCTTGGCATCCAGGCTGCCCTGCTTGGTCTTTCACCTCCTGAGTGCTCACTGCCAGCTGTTTCTGCTGACTCCGCGGTGTTGCAAGAGCTGGAGCTGCCGGTTAAAGTCCGGGTAAACAGGTTGCAAAGCCCTGGTGAGGGAGCAGGGTTTGGAAGGAGCTGCTGCTCATGGGCAGTGGGGTGATTTATTTGCATAGAATAAGATTTCCGCTGGAATAAAACAGCATGAGGAGAGGACGCTCAATAGCAGAGCAGGACTTCTGATGGATCTTGCTGCCCGGGAGGGAGGGGGCTGCAGATGGGAGGTTTGTGCCGCCCTGTCTCTCTGCAGGCAGAGGAAAACAGGAAAAAATTGCCCCAAGTCATGGAGTGCATCTGGAGTCCCTGCTGGGTGCCTCTTCCCAGGGGATTTGGGGCCAGAGCAGCACCGGGGGGCAGGGAGGGGACTTGCCAGCGCAGGCAGCACACATCCCTGATCAGGGCGAGGGAAAAGATCCTCCTCTGGGTGCGTTTCCCTGAACAGACCTGTTCCCTCGCCCTGTGATTTGTGTGTGTGCAGCTGCTGGAGGAGTCTTGGAGATGTGCAGCGGCAGGGCAGCCTTTGGGCCAGCTCCCCTCCCCTCATCTGTCCCCAGTGAGCGGTGAGAGGTGATCAGGGCACCGGTGTCCAGCCGTGCCCCTGCCACTCTGTGCAAGCCCTGGGGTGTCCCCTGCCGCAGCCGGGGCGATGTGTGTGCTGCTGTGTGCCAGGGAGGCAGCCGCTCTTGTGGCTCTGGGATGGGGACACTTTTTACATCCAGCTCCCTGGTTTGCTGTGGGACCTTCTTCCTCCTTTCTTGGCTCGGGCGGCCCCAGTGCCCCAGAGGCTGCCGATTCCCAGGAGGGGCACGCTGTCCCTTTGCTGGGGCACCTCACAGGCTCTAGGATGCCTGTGGATGTGGCTTTGCCCACAGGATGCCAGGCAGAGCCTCCCTGCCTCCCCCACATGGACAAACATCCTTAATCTTGGAGGCTGCTGAGGCCATGGGCAGGTTGCAGGAGGTGCGGCATCCCTCCCTATGCCATTTGATGTGGCTGCCCCTGGACTGGTGCTTGTCCCAGGTGTTTCCCTGCTGCCCAGCTCCCAGGGGTGCTGGGGCAGCAGCTGGTGCTGGGGAACTGTGTGGGAACATTTACGACTTTTAAAATGTCCGGCACTCCAGGATTGCAGCACAGGAGGCGGGAGGGAAGTGGCCTTGGCAGCGCCTGGGGCGTTCATGTGGCTGCGGTGGCAGTGGGGCTGGTGGCACAGCGGTGTGTAGCAGTGCAGAGAGGTGCCAGCTGGTGCTGGGCTCTTCGGGGACCGTTACACCCAGCTGAAGGACACTGCTCCTCATCACACTGCTCACCAGGGACCTGCCAGCTGCTCCTGCAGGAGCTGTTTGGCTTTGCAGCAGAAATTGCAGTGCTTGGCAAGCCCTGTGCCACGGGACCGGCAGCGTCTGCCACCTCTGATGGATGTGCCAAGGATGGGAGAGGGTTGAGGGGCAGCAGGAGAGCTCTGGAGACCCTGGGGATGGTGGCTGTCCTCCCGTGCTGCCCTGGGTGAGAGCCAGCGGCTGGGGGGAGTGGTGTGAGCCGGCTTTGCTGTGGCTGCCAGCGACTTCCTCCCACACTGCTGAAGCACAGGGTGCCACGGAGGCGTAAAGGCTGGTGGTGGTTGCCCATCACCACCTCCCAGGAGGCGTCCGCCTGGCCCAGGCTGAGCAACTCCGGCCCCTCCTGGGAACGCAGGGGGAAACAAGGAGCCTTTTTGTGCTGCGGCGAAGCCAAGCTGGCCTCGTGCCCCGTCCCCAGCACCCCGCAAGGCCGGGATGCTGCCAGGCTGGGCTGGTGGGTCCTGCCCTGGGGATGGGGGACCAGCACTCAGTGCCATGGTGTCCCCATCCCCGCTGTGCCTGCAGGAGGAGGGGGATACTGTTGGGATGTGGGGCTGGGCTTTCCTGTCGTCACGGGCTGTGCTGAGCCCTGGCACGGCTTCTTGGCTACCTCGGGGAGGATGAGCGCAGCCTGCTGCTTCTTGTGGCTGGGGGAAAAAAAATAGGATAAGGCTGTTTTAAGGTGGGTGCCACCCAGCTGCTGGAAGGAGTGCAGCGAGGCTGCTTTCCTTTCTCTCAAGAAGGACACGGCTGAGAGAAGGCAGCGGTGCCCCAGGGGATGCCAGCCTGCCCACCAGGACATCCCCGCACTGGGTGAGCGGCTTCGCCAGTGGCACTCTGCAGAAGGGAGCTGGAGGGAGCACCAGAGAGATTAAGGGTGTCTCTTGTAAATTTGGAGGCCATACAGAAGAAATAAGACTATATGAGAAACTCCACTGGTCCAAGGAGCTGGGGCTGCCTGCTGCTGTCACGGGGAGCAGCCATGGCCTGGCTCCCCATCCTGGGGGCCACGGTGTCCCCTATCAGCATCCCCTCTCAGGGTACTTTGGAGGGTGCTGATAAGCAGAGCTGTGCTCTGCCGCATGGTACCGGGCCTGTGCTTGGCTGCAGAGCAGGATAACCCACCACTGCACCCAGCCCCTGCGCTGGCCCTTCTTGTGATGGCAGCGCATTCCCCCCGGGCCGTGGTGGGGCTGTGCCGGCAAGGCTGTGTGCCAGGGGTGGCTGTGGCGGGGGGCGCCGGGCGGGGGGGGCG